AAAGGGACCTTGAGCAAGTGACTCGAGTTCTTCTTGCAGCCTCTGTTTCCCTACTTGTAATATGGGGATGATGATAATAAGAGCATCAAGCTCACCGTATTCTTGAGAAGATTAAAAAGTTAACTCAAGGGCATGAGGTGTTTAGTTCACTAACTGGTATGAGGAGGTGGCCATTTCCTACACTCGTAGGATCAAAGGAGAGAATGTAGATAAAAATCACAATAAAAAAAAAAATCACAATCACACAGCCCATTGGGTGAGTCTAGTGAACACAGGCTTTTGCGAACACGGCTCTGCCCACTGAGCTCCACCTTAGCCGGTGGGGCACTGGGAGAGTTGGGGTGAAGGTCTGTGCTTTCTTCCACAGCCCTGCCTTATCTTGGGGCAGGGCAGGCTGGCAGGGGCCCCCAGGCCTTCAAAATACTATTGCCCTTTGCCACGCCTTTTGAGGAAAGCCTGCCCTCCCAGCACCCCGCCTCCTCTTCCCGCCAGGGTGGGCTTTCTCCCAGCACCACCCATGGGGTCTGGGACCTTGGTAGGGGTCTGGGAGTGGAGGCTGAGCCCTCCCACCTCTCCGGGGGGGCTGCTGAGAGAACCAGCTCCTCTTCCTCCAGAGGGAGGAGGCAGAGCAAATATCCTCCTTCATACTGTTTCTCTTTCTGGAAGGGTGTGGACATGGGTGTAAGATTGCAACTGAGAAGGACTCCGCCCTGCGGCGAGGACATAGATTCATTTTGCAAGACCTGGTTCTCCATCTCTGTTCCCTTTGGACAACTGGCTTCTAAATCTGGAACTTTCAGTCTTTGCTCTGATGGCCACTTGTATCATCATGATATTATCGTGATATCATCATAGCATAATCATGATAATAACAGCAGTATCAGCTCTCAGGGGCACTTACATGCCAGGTGCTACACACATAGTTTCTCATGTACCAGAGACCCCCAGGAGGCACACTGTTGATGCAGCTTCCAGGTAAGGAGACGAAGTCAGGGGTGGCCCCACTTCCCAGCTCTTAAGCATGACTGTTGCCTTCTGTCGCCCTTCTTTAATAGCAAATCTGTCACTCTGTGTCCTTAGGCATATGACTACCAGCCTCAGTTTCCTTATCTGCAAAACGACAATGCTTCCTGGAGTGGTGATGATTACGTGAGAAAATGACAAGACTTGAGAAATAGAAACTTCTATTATTAATTATTATTATTTCTACTTATAAATCTGGCATGCTACTGCAGTAGTGGACCCCAGCATATCAAGAAACTACGTGACGCAGGTCCACCTGGGACCCTTCTCACAGAGCTCAGCTTGCTCAAGTGTGGAGGTGGGATTCATATATGGGGTGGGGAGATCCCAAAGTCAGGACCCAGAGGAGAGCATTACGGGTGTCCAACTATCAACTGGTTTCGTTCAATATCAACATATCTCTATACCTGCATTGTCCAATATCATAGCCACTCATAGCCAAAGGCAGCTGTTGGGCACCAGCTGTGTGTTGCTGAAACTGAATGAGATGCCCTCTAAGTATAAAATACATGCCAGATTTCAAAGAAAGTACCAAAACACACACACATACAAGCACATACAACGTTTAAAAATATTGATTATATATTGCAATAATAACTTTTTGGATATGTTGGGAAGGGTGGCCAACTTGCTCTGGCTTGCCAAAGACATTCTTGATGTTAGCCCTGAAATAAAGGCCTGCTTCCCAGGAAACTCCTCAGTCCTGGGAAAACCTGGACAGCTGGTCACCTTAATATTGGTTAATGTATATTAGTATAATTAATCTGTTTCTTTTTAAGTGCCACTTATTAGAACATTACAGATCATAATGTGGCTCTTGTTATATTCATGTTGGCCAGTCCAGGCTCTGAGGTGTTAAACCCCAGACTGTATCCTGCAAGGGATGGAGGGGACCATCGCCCTCCTTCAGCAACTGGCCACAGAAAGCAACAACTAGACTTGGGCGTAAAACAAGCAGATGAGCGCAGCAGCTGTGAGAGTCAGGGATCTGAAGGCTGGAGTGACTTTTCTGAATTGGAGGGGAGAGACGAGGGTGCCCGAGGCAGAGGGAAGCGCCTGAGCAACGGCAGGGAGCCAGGGTCAGGGAACGTGGGCACACCTGCTTGCAGAAGGACCCCTTCTCAGCCTACTCAGGTGGGCTGATTGGGCAACTTGTACGACTTTGGTTAGGAGCTCACGGTGCTTCGACCTTCCAGTTCAGCTAGTCCGTGCCTTGTGGGTCTGCACATCCGCTGCAGCCTTGTCAGGCCCACGCCGACGTGTAGGGGTTACTGCTGTGCAGAGGTTTCCTTGGTCAACTTATTCGAACCAGGACCTCCTGCGGCTGCAGCAGATCAGTGCCACTATCTGTGGGTAACAGACATGGAGGGGAGCCATGGCTTCTTACAGAGACAGACTAGAGTCTGAGAAAATACAGCTCATTCCAGATTTTCAGGGACTGGTTAGGGAGTCTTCATTTTGCCTGATTTCCCACAGTATTTATTGAGTGCTTACTGTGCTAAGAGGTTTGCATTGGCTCACGACCCTAGGAGTGGGTATGTTCTCTCCGTTACGTGGATGAAACTGAGGCTCGCAGAGGTCACAGAGCCAGAACAGTGAGAATTCACCCCAAAGCCGAGGTTCTTTGCATCTCTACACTCTTCCACTCTGGGCAGTTCTACCAAGAGATAGGAAAGCCTAAGATAAAATTTAGAACATAGGAATGGGTGTTTTTTTACATGGAGGCCTTGTCAGGCAAAACTGTGGAAGGCTTTGGCTAAAATGCTCTCTGCAGAAACACCTACTTTGAGTAATTTGGCCCTCACGTTTTATCAAATATTGATAAAAAGCCATCTGAAGACTTGTCTGATTCTGCTCTTCGTCTCTGAGGCCACTGGCCACCCTCCTCCACCATGGTTATTAAGTCCCCTTGACACCCCTCCCTCCATAAATTGTCCCCTAGAGAACTAGGCTTCTTTTGATAAGATGGAGAGTTACCCAACTCACCCTAAGACAGGAATGCTCAAAGTGAAGTGGAATGGGTATTTACATGCAGAACTGAGGTATTTGTGTCAAGCCTGGTGAAAACAGAAATATAAGAAAGGGGGAGCTTAGCACAGCAGCAGCTGCTGACTGAGCCGAGTTGACCACCTTAGCTCCAGGGCCACCCCGCAGGTAGGAGTCTCCCTGGGTGTGAGGCTCTGGCCAGTAAGTTTTGATGGAGGAGGTTGGGTGTAGGAAAGCACGAACAGCCAGGACGCTTGGGCACGGGGGAGGCAAAGGTCACCAGCCTTGCCTCTAGTGAATCTGTTGCTCAGATTGTGTGGACAGAGGCAAGGCACAGGCTGGGAACAGTATGGGAGCCCTTAGGCATTACGCAGACTTTAGAGTTAGACCCAGGTTCAACCCCAGCTTAGTCTAGTCCTTACCAGCTGACCTGCAGCAAATCTCTTCACTTAATCACTAAGGACAGGAATGGGCCTTCGAATTGAGTCCCTACTTTGGGCCAGGACCAGGTAATGCACTTTCTCCCCCCAGCTGTTTGGAGCATATCTAGTGAGTGAGGCAATCTGTCTAAACAAAGAACTTCAGCATTATATGCAAATGACTGCTACAGAATGTTATAACCACAAATCTACTGGCTTCTCCTGGCCAACCCTCAGGCTGGAAGCCTTTGACCTCCATCCTGCTGAACCCCTCTCCACTCAGGAGGTGTGCCTGCCCTGAGCCCCTGCCCCAAGCCTGGGGGCGGTGTTCCTTCTTGAGTCCTGTGCTTCTCTTACAGACCTGGACTCCAGTCCTGTTTGTGCTGTGTGCCCTGAACAAGTCACTTAACTCTCAGAATACTCTTGTCCAATGGGGCCAATAGCAAGGACACTGCTTAGCGTAGCTCTGGTACCGGGGCAGAGCAGGTACTCAGGAAATGCTAGCCACTACTCTTAAACTTATTCTTGACAGCAGAGGTCTGCTCCGCGTCTCTGCTGTATCCCAGCATTAAGCACAGAACCTGGGTGAGTACAGAGCAGGTGCACAATACATGCTGTTGTAGGCAGAATAATGGTCCCTGAAGATGTTCACACCCTAATTCCCAGAACCTGCGAATATTACCTTATAGGACAAAGGGGAATCACAGTGGCGGGTGGGATTAAGGTTGCTTATCATCTGACTTGAAATATCCTGGATTAACCAATTGATGTGACTGTGGATAACCAGCGGGATGATGTTGTGAGAAAGACTTGGCCTGACTTTGCTGGCTTTGAAGATGGAGGAAGAGGCCACAGCCAAGGAATGTGGGAAACTTCTAGAAGTTGGAAAAGGCCAGGAAACGGATTTTTCCCCAGAGCCTCCAGAAAGGAATACATCCTGCCAATACCTTGATTTTAGCTCAGGGAGACCCCTGAGGGATGTGTAAGCTATAGAACTGCAAGATAATACATAAGAGGGTTTTTTTTTAAAGGACATTTTGGTAATTTGTTACAACAGAATTAGTTAAGGAGTAAGTTTGTCTTATTCACTACTGGTTCACAGGTGCCAAGAGGACCTGGCACACAGTAGGCACTCAATAAATGCTATGAATGCTAATATTAAAATTCATATGAGTTTAATTAAGATGAGGGGTATAATGCCGGTTTCCTTCATGGGTGTCCTCCAGTGCCTGGCACGCAGAACCTGCAGGGAACCTGCAGGGTGACGAAGGCCCCTCGCCGCTGGCCCTTCCCCATGACCCTCATGGCCGTCGCCGCCCATTCTGTGCAGCTCCCGTCGGTCCAGGACCAGGTGGCCTTCTCTTAAATAACTAACTTGACGCCTCTCTCCTGGGGTCCTTTTCATTGGGCGGTGAGCGCAGAGCGCCGAACCCGGGAAGCCCTGGAGGCCGCGGGGCGCAGGCCCGCTTCGGGCGGCAGGGGGCGAGCGTGGCCCGGGAACTCCCGCCGGGGCCTAGGGACGGGGCGGGGCTTCGGGGGCGGGTCGGCCCAGTGCGCAGGCGCGGGGCCAGACGCCGCGCGCGGCCAGGGACAGGCGGTCGCAGAGCAGCTGCGGTCGCAGAGCAGCGCCGTTCGCGGCTTCGGTGGCAGTAGGTTCGATTCCCGCTCCCGCTCCGCTTCGGCTTTCGCTCCCCGGGCCCTTGGGCCTCCCGACGCCAGTCCCCGGCAGACCTTGCTGCGCATTGCGCCCTTCCTGCCGTCAGGATGCCGGTAACCGAGAAGGACCTGGCGGAGGACGCGCCGTGGAAGAAGATTCAGCAGAACACGTTCACGCGTTGGTGCAACGAGCACCTCAAGTGCGTGAACAAACGCATCGGGAACCTGCAGACCGACCTGAGCGATGGGCTGCGCCTCATTGCGCTGCTCGAGGTGCTCAGTCAGAAGCGCATGTACCGCAAGTACCACCAGCGGCCCACCTTCCGCCAGATGCAGCTCGAGAATGTGTCGGTGGCGCTCGAGTTCCTGGACCGTGAGAGCATCAAGCTCGTGTCCATCGGTGAGTGCTTTGGCCGGCCGGCGCCGGAGGTGCACCGTCCCGTTCCCGCGCGCGCGCCCCTGTGGAAGGCCGGGGGTCGCTGCCGCGCACCCCCACCACGCCCAGCATCCGCGTGCTGGGGGTGGGTGCCGAGGCCAGGGGGGCGGCGTCCCGAGGGGCTGGGGTCCTAGACTCCCTCCCCGGTGCCGTCCGCTGGGCTGGGTCCTTGTGTGATAGCCCCCCGTCGTGCGCCCCGGCAGTGCGTCTCTGGGGGGCTGTGGGTTCAGGGCTTGGGTTGGGGCCGCACGCGGACCGGTGGGGCTGTGCCGTTTTTCTGCCCCCCCCGGGGGGGTCTCCCTGCGGGAGCTGGGGGACTGGAAACAGGTCCGCCGTCCCCGGGTGGGGGCCCGGTCGGTGCTCCCCGGAGCGCTCGCCCAGCTGCGCCCAGGCCAGGCGGGGCTACCTGGGGAGGGACCGTTCTCTGAGCTTGGGGCCTGCCGCCCAGGTGGAGACGAGGACCCGGGACCCTGCCCTGCATCCTCGGAAAGGGTGTGGGCTCCGGGATGGGAAGGGGAGCCGCGGAGGTGTGTCGTCGCCCTCAGCTCTGGCCCCGCGCGCCGTTGATGTTATTACATCGGAGAGCGATAATAGTAACTCTCGTCTCGTGGGGAGCAGACTGGTGCGCGCTCGGGTCGATAGCCTTCGAAGTTAGCTGAGTCCTTACACATCCCGCGAGCTGGGGTGTCGTTTGGACTCATTTTACAAAGGGGTCCGGAGGGTTAACTGATTTGCTCAAGGTCATGGAAGTAGCGAGGGTCCAGCTGAGAACTGAAGGAAGTGGGTGACAATTAGAGGAGACTTTGCCTTCCTCCCCCGCATGCCCCACACCGGGGTCTTCCTGAGAGGAGGGGGAGCTGGTGCTGCGTTCCTTTCCTCCCGATCTGGGGGGAAAGAATGAAGGTCAAGTGCCCACCATGACCTGGGCTAGTTGGGGGCTTCCTGGAAGGTCACAAGTCAGCTGAGGGTGTGGGCTGTGACCCTGGGGGCAGTGGGGTGTGCACTCTGCATGTGTGTAGCGAGCGTGTATACACAGCATGTGTGCATAGAGCATACACCTGTGCAAAGAGTGTGTGAGTGTACACAGCATAGGAATGCAGGGAATGTATGCGTGTGTTCTGCCGGGTGGGTGTCTTGGCAGAGAGGAGCGGGCCCGGGCCTGGGTCTGGGGTCTCTTCCTAGAGAAACCAGGCCTTAGAGCGGCCACCTCTGCGACGGGGAAGAAAGGGTGGTGGGTGGGGCGGCTCGGACTTTCTCCAGCCTTAAGGAGTTTCCCTCAGGGCTGAGTCTGCTCCTCGCACTCCCTCACCTTCCCCCACACCTGTCCTGGCAGGTGGGGCTGCTTCCTGCTTCCCGAGCCCAAACAGCCTGCCCATCAAGGGTGGCTTCTCTGCAGCGGGAAGCCGCGTGGCATGCTGTTGTCGGCTTTTTGGGGCCCGTGTCCTGTGATTGGTAAAGGAGAACCTCGAAATTCTCCTGGAATTCACTTCAGAGACCAATTTCCCCTCCGAGGACTCCCAAGGCCCAGCTGGGTTCAACTGAGATCCCTTCTTTGTTTTAAAAACTTGTATTTATTTAATTATCTGAACAAAGAGACTTAAAGCAAACCAGGAGTATCCACACATGACATGAAATCTTTAAAAAACAAAACAAAACAAAAGAAGAACCAAACCACCACACCAGAAAGCCCCGGACTGCCCATTTTACCCGCTGTTTACAGAGGCTGAAGCTGCTTCCACCGGGGCTTGCCAGCACTGCCCCGAACTGGGGGTCTCGTTCTAGACTTCATATGGTCTCTTGTATTTTTCTACTCAACGCTCTGATTTTCATTTCCGAACCCACCCAGGCTCCAGCATCTTCCATTGGCCTGACATGCAGGGTGTGCCCCCCTCCCCGGTTGTGGGCCTGCAGTCCGCTGGCAGCTTCTTGCTGTGGACCTCTTCCCACCACAAGTTCCATTGTTTTATTTTCTCCCTTTAACTTATTTCTTGGATTTTCGCAGAAGTGGCATTTTGGGGCAAAGGGTGCTACCACATTGATGACGCCTGCCATTGGCTGCCTAGTTGCTCTCCAGAAAGATCTCACGGCAAACAGGTTTTCCAGGTCTGGAGACCTGAGGGACACTTGCCATGTGCCAGGCCTCTGTGGGGATAATGCCTGAGACCTCTTCCCCTGTTTCTGGGGCTGTTCTGGGAACAGCCGTATCTGGTCACATTCAGCTTGGACTTCACTTCAAGTATTCACTGCTTTATGACGTGTTACAAGGACACCGAGAATCTGACTGTGGACACCCACTAGGTGTGTGTTCCACTGATTGCCCCGTGGGTCACCATCTGAATTCTTTTTTGGGTCCCTTGTCTATGTCATGATCTGCTTCAGCAAGTCACGGCGGGGTTAAGGGCTTTCCCCAGTCCTGGCCAACCGCTTAGCAAATGGTTGTTACTGTGGTTAATTAGTATTATTATCTCAGTTGAAAGATGAGGAAACAGGAGTGAAGTAATGGAGAGGTCACCCAGCTAGAAAATGGCGACTGGAGCCCACGTCTGCCCAGTTGTTGAAACTGAGCCTTAACCAACCTGCTTTCTAGTGTCAGAAATGAGCAGCACACAGTCCCTCCAGTCCCTCTTCCCCGACCCAGAGTTCCTGTAACATTATATTTTGCAAGACGGAGATGTTGGGGTGGCAGCTGGACACCTACACTTTGAGCCTCTGACCTTGAACAAAGCAGGGATCTCAAGGCCTTGGGTATGTGACAGGAGTGTGATGAGGGTCCCTTGACATGAGTGGCACTTCTGGAGGTGAGCAGAATCATTTTCCACCTTGCATCTTTTGTTGAGGGAATGGCTGCCCTGACTTCACTGGTTTTTGTCGAGTTTATTGCTTGTGTTTAGTTTTTGGAGATTTCCTGCTACCTTCTGGCTGGTTTACTCCCTAATCTGAGAAGGTGGCATTGAATGAATACGGGGTATTCTATATCTCGGACAACTCCCAACAATATAGATTGTGGGAATCATCAGAATTGTGTACAGGTGCCCAACTCTGAGACATGAGATGGTCAGAAGCCCCAGAGGATTGTAGCTTTTCTGCCTGGAGTTCACTGAGAGACAGTTCTGGCAGGTTACTCGCATTTGTGAATCATCGTAAAGTGGACCCATCCTAGGCTCCATCCGACAGTTGAAGATGTCATCACTTTCTTATTCTATCTTGGGAAGTTCATAGTGTGAGGCCTCAGCATATTTAATGCTAGTTATTTGCCAGGAGCTGGCAGTTTTATTTACTTGTTTTTTCCAAAATCCTTTAGACACTGGGCAGCCCAGCCAACTTGGAGAAAAAGGGGTCTCTCAGCCCAAGAATGACAATCAAGCCTGCCCAGAAGTTTGTGTGGTATGTTTTGGTTTGATCTTTTAGAAAAAGGAATTCTTTCCTTTTCAGAGGATGCGATCTGACCCTCAAGTTTACTTAAGGTACCTGTTCCAGGGCCAGTGCCCCAGAGCAGGTGAGGTGTGCGTTGCTGACGTTGTTGGGTCACTGGGCTGACTGTCCAGGGTGGTGGGTCATGGCGCCACTCAGCCCCTTTTCCTTTGTTTGTCCCACCTTCACCAAAATAACATACAAACACAGTGATCCTGAATTCTACCCTTCCTGAATGATCTAGCAGATGCCAGTGTATCTTTTAGGCCATGGAGTTCAGACCCTGAGGATGCCTAAAAAGCAGCATGGTTTGTCAGAATTAACAAGTTCTGGGCCATTTGCAACAAAGTAACACATTAGTGAGGGAGGTGGCTCTTGCTGTAGTTAAAAGCAGGGATTCTTGATTCAGATCCCACTTGCCACTAAGTAGCTGTTATGAAACTTCTGTGCCTTTGTTTCTTTATCACTAAAATGGGAATATAAGCACCTCTTTAAAAGGTTGTTATAAAAATTAAACAAGTTAATATTTTTTAAAGTGCTTGGAACAGTTGGTGAAACATAGTAAGCCTGTACAAGTGTCTGTTAAAAGAATAAGGTACTGTTCAATAGCATTCTCAAAAGTCAGGCTGGTGGGTTTGCACACTGAAAGGACATTTAAAATCTGTGCAGCCCAGGGGAGACCGGCTTGGCCGGCCAATGTTGATTCTGCTTGTTATAATAGGGTTATGGACTGCCCAGAGGATGTCCCCTCCTTGGAAGGGAGTGACCCCTGGGTGTGTTATGGCTGCCTCGGGGGCCCATTCACACCAGCTTTGTCTCCTAGAGCTGGACAGGAGCTTGGGGCGACTGGTCATTACAACCTCCCACCCTGCTCCGGAATCGCAGCCAAATCACTTCCAGATGGCAGCTGGGCCTCTGCAGAGCTCTGGCAGCGGCAGAGCCAGTGTGCCAGTCGGCAGCTGCCTCAGTTCTGAGAGACCCTGTGCTAAAGGGGGCTTGGCCTTGGAGCCAAATTATGTCTCCTGGGTATGCCCCCTAAACCCCCAAGGGCCTGGTTCTGTGCTGGGGGAGGGTTAGTTGAGGATGACTGACTTGCTCCTGGGGCAGCAGATGCTCTTGCTGGGAGCCTCTGGACCTGCCTGTGGCAGCTCCCGGGCCAGGGTACCACGTCATCCTGCTTTCCCTCTCAACAGCCTCTGCCTAGATCAGCACCTACTGAGCAGTACTAGATATGGCCAAAGGGTTCAATGCATGGGCCTGAAGCTAGACTGCCAGGATTCTTATTCCCACCTGCCTCCTCACACTGTGCAACTCTGATCCACCTCTTAACCTCTCTGAGCCTCAGTCTCCCTGTCTAAAATGGAGAACAATAGTTCCCATCTTAGAGTTGCTGAGTGCATTATACGTGACTAGGTTAAGTTATAGCGTAATGCTGCACTTTCATTTTTCATATTGTTCTGCTCTTGAACTCCAGTCCAGGACTCTTGTCTTCTGTCTCTTCTCAGGCCAGCCCTACCCCAGTCACCCCGTGTGTTAACTACCCTCTTCCCCCC